TTTAAAGTGCTATATAAACACCTTTATATTTGTATGTATGTGTGTTCTACCAGAGGAATATGATAAATTATAGAAGAATAATTAAAAGGGTTTTAAATAGTTCTTTGTACTGGAAGGACCCTCAAGGGGGTAATCTAACATATTTACCCCCATCTTCAAGAAGGCAAACTGTTAAACCATTGAGACATAATAAGAATCTAGATATTCTTTGTTTTAGGAACTAAAATTATTGTGTAGATTTTTCATTATCACAAATGACATTTTTGCATTATGCATGTTTACAAAAATATGATCATATTATTTATTTCCAAACTTTTTCAGTAACATATCATAATAAGAAGAAAACAATCAGTTATTAACTGCCAAATATTTTCCAGGTATTGTGCTAAGCAAATTGATTTTCAAAATAACTTACAGGATTTTGATGTCTGACAATCAAGAATACTCCCCTATAGTAATCTAAAATATAGATTGAAATCATCTTGTTTTATCATTTATTAACAAAGTCAATTGATGCTTCTCTGTCTTAAATACAAAGGTCAAGTTATACCTTGAATGAATGAAAAAAAAATATATTGAGCTCTTACTGAGTGCCAAACACTGTGATAAGTGACAGGAATATAAATACAAAAGTGAGATTGTTCTTGCCTTCAAGTAGTTTATATTCTAAGGGAGAAACAACACATATATATGATGAGTTTCTCATTATTAGAGGTCTTCTATTACCAGAGGGTTGGCTACCTCTAAGGTAAGTTGTAGTGGGATTCTTTTTCAGGTATGGGTTGAAATAGATGGATGCTGAAATTTTCTCCAATTCTAAAAATCTGTGATTCTGTAAATATGTTAATTTTTAGGGGAACAAAAGATGTTTAAAACACAGCATCTTATATAAACAGGCAGTTTTCTGATGAGGTAATTAAAGCTATTTATAGCCATATGAGGAAAAATGCTCCAAATCACTGTTGATTATAGAAATGCAAATGAAAACAACTCTGAGCTACCACCTCATACCTATCAGATTAGGTAATATGACAGAAATGGAAAATAACATATGTTGTAGGGAGTGTTGGAAAATTGAGCCCCTAACACACTATTAGTGAAGGTGTATACTGATTCAACCTTTCTGGAAAGTAATTTGGAACTCTGCCCAAAGGGCTACAAAACCATACATACCTTTTGACCAAACAATACCACTATTAGGTCTGTAGCCCAAAGTGATAAAAAAAGAAAAAGTCTTATGTGTACATAAATTATTTATAGCAACATTTTTACTGGTGGCAAAGAATTGGAATTTGAAGGGATGTTAATTGTGAAATGACTGAATAAGTTGTATATTATTGTAATGCAACACTTTTGTGCTACAAGAAATGACAAACAGGATGCTCTCATAAAAACATGGAAAGTCTTACATGAACTGATGCAAAGTGAAATGAGCAGAACCAGGAGAACATTGTATACAGTAATAGCAGTATTGTATGATGGATCCACTGAGAATAATTTTGCTATTCTCAGCAATACAATGATCCAAGACAATTCTGAATGACTTATAAAGAAAAATTCTCTCCATCTCCAGAGAAATAACAGTCTGAATACATATCAAAGCATTAATTTTTTTTAGTTTTTTTAATGTCTTTGTTTTCTTTTACAGAATAACTAATGTGGAGATATGTTTTTCATGACTGCACTTTCATAATCTATATCAAACTGATTGCCTTCTCAGTGGGGGGGGGAGGGAGGAAGAGAAAAAAGTTGTAATTCAAAAAATTAAAACAATGGTTAAAAAATGTTTTTACATGTAATTGAGGGAAAAATAAAATTTAGTTTTAGAAAAATGAAAAAATACAGTATCTCAGAGATAAGACCTCAGACATCATCTAGCCCAATTCATAGCTGAAAAGGAATCCTGTGTACCAAATATTCAACATGCAATCATCTATCCTTACCTTGAAGACCTAATTAGGCAGCCTAATTTGCCACCAGAAAGATCTATAAGGTTATAACAAGCTTAAATTTACCTCATTGAAAGTTTTATTTATTCTTCCTTTCTCTTTCCTAAGGATCAGTTGGAAGAAATCCAATCTTTCCTTTGTGAGATACTTCAAAAATGTGTAGATATCTATTGTGTCTCCTCTCAATCTTTTCCGGCTAAGCATTCCCATTTTCTTGATCCATCCTCACATGCAGAACCTAAAGGTCCTTTGTTATCCTTGTTTCCCTCTCCCAAAGGCCCTTAATTTATCAAATCCATCCTTGAAGGACTTATTCTAACTCTATTTTTTTCTTCAACATAGGACCATTATCCCTTTATGTTCCTAACCATTGTTAGGAGATAAACTGCTGAATGAGGTAAATATATGCAAGTATTGACACAGGTCAGAAAACAAGAAGTATTACCATTTATCTGATTGCTTAAGGAAAACAATAAGATTTTTTTATTCACTTCCCAAACCTTGATGGATACACAATGTAGCAAATTTCTAAAGATTGATTCTGTAGTTATTTAGGATTGACGACCAAAGAAGAAATGAAAGAAAAAGGAGAAAAATAGTCAGTTATGTTGTCAATAAGCATTCATTAGGAATACAAAGAAATGCAAAATATAGACCCTGCCTTAGTTACAATCTAATGGGGATACATTATGTAAACAATTATGTAGAAACAAACTACATAAGGGAAAAACAAGAAGTAATCATCAGAGAGAAGCCACTAGTATTAAGAGGGATTAGAAAAGGTTTCCTGAAGAAAGTAGGATGTTATCTAGTGCTTGAGGTAAGCCAGGGATGCCAAGGGGTAGAGATATGGAGGGAAAGCATTACAGGAATGAAGACTGGTCAGTGAAAAATAACCAGAACTGAGAGATGAAGTTTCTTGTTTGAAGGATAACTGGGAGACTAGTATCACCGAATATTAGAGTCCATGGATAGGTGGGGTTAAGTTATAAGAAGACCGGAATGGTGGTTGGCACATGTTGTAAAGAGATTTTGACACCAGAGATTTTTATATTACATACTGAAATTTATAGGGATCTACTGAAGTAGGTGGATGACAAAGTCAGATCTGTGCTTCAGAAAAGTCACTTTGATGGCCTAGAATGAGAAGAGACATAAAACGATAATTATCTGGAGGAAATAAGGGTGGGCAACAGAATGGTTGCTGCAACATAAAAGAGAAGGGGCCATATCAAGAGATGTTGCAAAGGTGAAATTGACATGTTTTGACCACAGGGGGGGACAGAGATAGTGAGGAGTTGACAATGACCCCTTGATTCCCAGCCTTAAGGACTCAGAGAATTGTGGTACCCTTGACAATAACATGGAAGTTTGGATGACAGTAGGGTTTGGGGTTGAATATAATGAGTTCAGTCTTGTATGTGATGAGTTGAAAATGTCTACAGGATGTCTAGTTTGAAGTGTCTGAATGGCAATTGGAGAAATGAGATTAGAGGTCAGTAGAGAGGTTAGGGTAGGATAGGTAAATTCAACAATCATCCAAACAGATATGGTAATTAAATCCACGGAGACTCCTTAGATCACCTAGGGAAGTAGTATAGAGGGAGAAGATTAGAAGACCTAGTACAGAACCCTGTGGGACACCTACAGTTAGATGATATTATCTGGATAAGAATCCAGCAAAGGAGCCTGAGGAGCAGTTGTATAGGTAGGAGAACAAAGAGTGGTGTCCTGAAAACCTAAAGAGAATAGAATATCAAGGAGAAGGTGGTGACTGTTGGTGTTAAAGGCTGCAATGAGTTCAAGAAGGATGAGGATTAAGAAAACTCCTTGGATTTGGCAATGAAGAAACCAGAGAATTTAAGCCACTGTTTAAAAAAAAGTGAAAGAACAATGAAATCTAGAGGAAGATTAAACATAAATCTCTTCTCTATATATTTGGTCCCATTAGGAAACTCTTCCTATCTTTTTGTATTTTCTTTAATTCCATTTCTACCTCTTCTATGACTACATCCAGGAATGTGATGTCAATATTAGCATCCAATTCTGGTGGTTCAAATGGCCTTTATAGTAAATATAGTTCATCAGAGTAATTTTACAGATATTGTCCATTTGTTATCCTTCAATTGTTTTCCATAAATGTGCTTAGCATGCCTTAGTGATTTATTTTAAATATTTTGTCTTTTAAACTTGTTACCCCCTCCAGTGCTTCTCTCTGCTTTAGGAAATGATATACTTATAATCATTCAATAACCTTCTTCATAAACTTTTATTAATGAGTTTGTAGTCTAATCCAGTGTTGACTTTGGCCACCAGCTCTCTTTACTTAGTAAGTAAATGAAATATTTGCTGACTAAGGTCTTTTTCTTATGGGTAACATTTATAGAAGTTAAACATCTGTATAAAATTATTATAATCAATGCCAATGTCATTTTTATGTCCACTTCACATGTCTCACTGTTGATTTCTGATTTAAATGGAATTGATTTTCACTTGTATATCATATTTTCTCACTTATTTTTTCTTGCTTTTTATTAATTCTAATCTTTGCTCTACCAAGTTGGTGGTCTAATAGCACAGTGAGCTGATTCAGGGATAACTTGTATGTCAATAACAAATCTTTTCTTATTTGTTGAAATGTAAACTATTCCATTTTTTTCAATATTATCTATTGGTCATCATGACCAATATCTACAAATTCTTTTAAGAAATAATGTGTTCGTGATACTCAAGGTATGAGACTTCTGTACAATCAAGTTATTGGGTCTCTCTTCTTCATTCCTGAACCATTATTTCCAAATGATATCTCATCACACTCACCTTTTCTTATTTTTATATTAAAATTCCTGAATATCATGGTATATAATGACTTAATTTGGGGGAATCTTATGAATTTCTTCATAAAATTTCTCTATCTCTTCTGCTGATGGAGAGAAAGCAATTATAGTAATGATAGATTTTTTAAAAAATATTATTAGTACTGAAATACAAGATGACCATACATCCTGTGAAGTAATGTTTTGTTGCCTTTGGAAATATAATGGAACCTACTCTGTCATCTTCTTTCTTAGTATCTTCAAAGAGTACACGAGCCATTCTTCTCATCAGCTGAAACTTTCCTCTATCTTTGGGTTTCACCTAAAAGAAAGAATGTTCAGATTGCTATAACTCAGCTTTTCCTGTAGTATGTCTCTTGTTAGTTATTGGATGAATATCTCACAATTAGAGGTACAAAAGTCAAATTGAGGTTTATAGATAAAAACAACAACAACCACAACAACCCTGATGTCATTTTTGCCACCCTCTGATCCTTTTTCTACCACTTTGACAATGAGAGTATAAAAATAGCCTGAGGGATATTTTCTAATTTTCTTTATGTCATGGGTTGTCATGACCAAAATTTTATCATCAAGTAGCCATTTATGAGTGACAAGATTCCCTATGTAACTGGGATGGCCTTTGGAAAGCCAACTGAGTCTGTTGTTGAGTCATTTTTGAAGCCATTTCAGAATGGCAGAATCTGCCAGAGCTTTCACTCCACTGGCATAGCCTTTAAGAAATGAGAGTCACCTCCATGCAGAGGAACTTCTCCATGTTATTTTTTAATAGGTGAACTATAAACATATTCTGAAAAGGAGCTAACTAAAAAAATATGGAGAGCTTGTTATCGTCAGCTTTGTCCTATTCCCATAATCACAGTTGTGTTTTCACAGTGTCATTTCCTTTGATGACTCATAAGCAAATTGTGGTCAGTTATGACTCAAATCTTTCTTTTGAATTTGTTCCAAGATGTTCCTCCAGTACTTTTCTATATTATATTAATGTTGCTAGTATCTCTGTCTTCATTTAATACTTTATCTGTAGGCCCATGTTCCAATTTGCAAGTTATATCAAAACCTGTTCCTTCCTTTGAGATATGAGAGAGATGAAAGTGATGAGAAAGACAGAAAGACAGATTGAGAGAAAACACATTCATTTAGTACTTCCTATGTGCCAGGCACCATGTGAAGCACTGGGGATATAAAGAAAGGCAAAAACATTCCATGACTTCAAAGAATTTACATTCTTATGGGGGAAGACAACACATAAAGAGGAGTAGGAATCACAAGTCTTCTAGAAAAGAGGTAATGTATGTAGAATTAGTCCTTTGGAGAGTGAAATGAGCATGGCTGGAGCACTTCATGAAATGGAGAGCCAGGCTAGGGACTCATAATCCTGAGAGAGGGCTGAGGTATTTGTAGGACTAGGAAGCTGCCATAGAGGAGGTAGAGAATTACAGAGTGGATCATCCAGGGATTGAAGGATTATTGAGGACATTTGGGTCTAGGAACCTGTAATTCTGTCTAAGGACTCACCAATCCTGGGAGTAGGCCTCAGGGTAAAGGGTACAATGCTCTCATATTGTGTTTGTTTTTTGAACTTGATTCACTTAGTTTTTGTTTGTCTTTATTTTTTTTTTCAGTCTCAGAGATTGTTTTAGTTTTTTGTTCGGTTTGGTTTTGTTTTAGTTGCGTTGGTGTTGATGTTATTGGCTGTGGTGTCACTGTGCATTTGTGTTATTTTGCACTTAAGCATGTTCAGTATCCTGAGAACTCCTCTTCACTATAGCATTCACCAAATCACTGCCAAATCTCAATGCCTTTAGAGAGGTAGATAATGCATATGTGTTTATAGCACAGAGTTAGTCCAAGTATCGATACAGAATTTAAAAGAAGGCAAAAGAATAAACAGAGCTAAATGGATTATGAGTCCATTGCATCTCTCAAGGACACTACCTGGAATGATCAACCAAAAGGATATTTCACCCAAAGCTCTAGCTAGAATGGGTACATACTTAAACTCGTATGATATCTACCTTTGGCTCTTTGGCTAGTGAAACTAGAGAAACTGGCTTCCTTTGATATTAGTGGGGAGGCAGATTAACATTTCTTCCACAGTGTCACTAGATGAGCAACAAGGGCTTTCAAAGGAGCACAGGTTCCTCAAATAATCTATCTCAGCAATCCTTCTGGCAATACCTGTTCTAATGAGATTAATGAATTTTTTTTTCAAACGCTGAAATGATCCTTCTGATTTACCAAATCATTTTCTGGGGGTATATTTAAGCTCTCAAACACACTTAATAGAGTTTATGAGGAAGATAATGTTTTGTAGCTCAGCATGGAAAAAAAATTGGATAACAAGTAAGAAAGCAAATCTTTCTATCAGGTATTTTCTATTCAGAAGCTTTAATCCCTATTAAACATTAGAGGTGCATAAAATTTAAGAACGGAAATGCAATCCCTCTCCTAATATGTCTTATCTTTCTAAGCATTTACATATCCAATAATTACTTGACTGAGTTTCATTATCACCTAGGCCATGCCCTCTACGCTAAGTAGCATTTGGAAGAATGATATTTATGCATGTGACAGTTAAAATTGATAGTCTTAAAAAATATATTATGAGAAATATATATTTAACTCTCAAGTGCTAAAAATATGAAAAGTAATTAATACATACAACATAAATATATGATAAAAGTGATAAACAGTTTGCTGAATTCTGTGAGATTGCCTTATTCTTGATTCCTCTCTCTATTATATGATATATATATATATATATATATATATATATATATATATATATATATGTATATGTATATATGTTTGTGTGTGTGTGTGTGTGTGTGTGTGTGTGTGTGTGAGATGTGTGTGTGTAAAGGCACTGGATTGTTGGGTATCTTGAAGTCAGGAAGACCTGGATTTAATTCCTGCTTCAGGTACATAACTAACTGTGTAATCATGGGCAATTAACTTCACATTCCAGGGTCCCAGACAATTCTCTAAGTTGGTGAGTTCAAATGAGTTGAAAATCTGCATAGATGAGGAAAGTTTCAACACCAAGAACTATTTATTTACTGCTAATGCTTTGAATAGGGATTACTTATTGATTAAGGATTCTTAACTTGTGGAACATAAACTTTTTTAAAAATTATAGAACAAAGTGAGCTCCCCTAGGGGGAAAAAACAAGCAAATTGACAACAACAAAATCCTTCAGAAAGACCTAGAAAACACAACAAACTAAATCCTGTTTGAGAAATTCAAGAAAAAGCCATAGTGAGTCATTTTTCCAGACCAAGTCAGCACAGGGATACAGAGAGAGTGGTCTGCGGATACCGGGGTATGGATAGAAGCAGGTTTCATAGAGCACTCAAGTACATAAGGGAAGACTGGGAACCAGGACAAAAGGAGATCTAAGACCAATACTGAGGCAAGACTAGCATCTTTGTCACTCACTACTCAATTGAAAATCATAGATCCAAGGTGAACTAAGGAGGGTATCCATGCCGAAGGGTGGCATTCTGAGATAGGGAGCAACCACAAGCCCTAGGTGGTATAGTGTGGGAAGCAAGTACAAAAGAAATGAATAGTGTTGGCTCAGGTCCCAGAAGCAGAACAGGGTCTCAATACCAGCATCTAACTCAATCTAAAGCCTACAGAAGAATAAACACGTCAAGAATCCCAAACCAAAGAGAGTCTGTAGTTCTGCCACTCTGAACCTGCTGAGGTTCCCAGATGGTTGATAGTCACCAAGTCAAGCACAAGGCATTTTTTGCTCAGACCCATACCCAGGTCAAGAACTGGCAGAGCTCAGACCAGGGAAGCATTGTTCTCTGGGTGAGAATACTTTGAGATTACTGAAAGTTTGCATATCCTGAGTTTCATAGGTATCTGAGACCCAGGAATACATCACTTTCAATACCCTCGAGAGAACAGCAACAGGAGTAGACTAAATCTTTTTTTGCACCATTAAAATCACAGATCTAGTCCCCATATCTATATATTCACCACAACAGAGCTCTACCCAATGTCCTTAGAGCATATTGGTTATCACTCATCACTTTCTCAGCTCACAGATTTACCTGATGATATCTTGTGTATCATATGTGTAAATTTAGATTTTATATCAAGGGGATCAGGAATCCTAAAAATTTCATCTGTACAAAAATGCAAAGGGCTACCTTATTGAAATTATTCTAACAAAATCTGGATAGCCACTTATTAAGTATATTTTAATGGGAATTCTCTAGGGTTTGGGTTTCATAGTCATTGAAGCACATTCAACTCTAAAGTTCTGTGATTCAGATATTTTTTCTTGGCAAACACATTCTATGCCAAATATCATTCTATTCTGTGTATTTCCTGATGCCATTCCCTATTGTCAAGTCTACTTAATACCATAGCCTGATCCCTGTAAGTCTGATTCCAGTTTCATAAGCTAATAACTTGTTTACTCCATTTGCTTGAAAGTTTATCTTGAAGATCATGCTCTTAATGTAATCCAGATCTTATAAATATTGCCATAATGTTTCATTAGGTAGGATTTAAACTCCTTTACCTGACACTAAAATCGGGAATTAAACAACCAGTGAGCTCACATATTTCCTTTTAAATCATGGGGAAGCTAGGTGGCACAGAGGAGAAAATGCCAGGCCTGGAATAAGAAACAACTGTATTTGAATACTGCTTTAGATGCTTAATGTAGCCCTGAGGAAATAATTTAACCTTTCTTGATCTCAGTTTCTTCATTTATTAAATGTCGATAATGATGATACCTACCTCATAGGGTTATTATGAAGCTCAAATAAGGTAATATACTTAAAACCATTTATAAATTTCAAAGAACTACATAAAAGTTAACAATTAGCAAGTAACCTATTTAAAATGTATATTTTTGTAATGTATAACTTTAGAAAGAGTACTACACTGTTCAAAACATTTTCCTAAACAATCCTACTAGTATGCATATAACAGCAAGGAAATCAAGGTCAAAAGAAAAATCTCAGATATGCCAAGTGGCCAGAGTAACACTTTTATAGCAGCAAAAATTAAACATTAGTCTGCATTAATTTTTACCAGTTTGTAAAACTTTTACAAAAGTCCATACTTCTTAAAAACCTATAACATTTTAAAAGTAAATTTCAGCCTAAAACAGACTTTATATTTTAGAAGATATTGAAACAAAAGGATAGATGAGATCTCAGAGTCTAAACTGTTATAAAGGGAAATTGGAGATGTTCTTGAGTAGAAAATTTTGAAAACATAAATACAAATGATTCTGATAATAAGAAACAGATTTCTAAAGAGACTAAAGG